GGGGGGTAATGCCGACTTTGAACCAAAGAACCGGTCAAGCTCTTCCACAGGCAGTCACGGACAAACATACTAACAGACAAACGCAATTCCCTATGTCTGTCGAGACGTAATTTGATAGATGAATTGATTGAAAGAAGATAAAATTGGACAAACAAAGCAACAAGTGCCGTTCTAGTTTGTGATATTTGTTTACTCCAGACGTCGTAGGACGGAAGTATATGTGACTTATAGTTTTATTTAATTAAACACATTGTTTAAATTGCGAAGTACTTATTTCTTACTATTTTTTCCTTGTATCGAGACGTGCAACATATCCGTTCTTTTAATTTTTTTTTGTTTTTTTTTTATCCTATTTATAGATCGATACCGCAATTTTTACAATTTAGAACGTAGTTAAATAGACCAATAAGCTTACACAATGGGAAAGCAAATCGGTAACTTATGTAAAATTATTCAGAATACCGTATTCCTTTGTTGAATCGAGAAAACGTTGAGACGAAGATCCGAACAAAGAAACTCAAACAAAGAGTTTTGATACGACGTCATATTTTCTCATTTAAAATCATGATTTAATCCGTACAATCTTAATATTATCACTAACCTGGTTGTAGATCTTCAACCACCAAATGCTGCAGGCTGCTTGGCTAGAATCTGCTCAGAGTCCCGCATCGCACCAGCCGCCTCCGCCGCCGAAGTCGAAGTGGGCGCGGCGGAGACACAAGCGCAGACTCCCCCGCTCCCATCAAATGTCATAGCGCATGCGTCAATTTATTGAATTCGTCTCGAAACCTAGGCAACGCCTAAATATATCTAGATGTGACTACAACATAAATCCTAGGCAAGGGCGTGGCTCAAGCTCGGAGAAAGCTCTGTAATTCCACAGATTATATACAAGGAAGAATCTGGCAACACTTGCCGGTATAATTTTTATACTCTATCTACGATGGCAATCCTAAAAAATTGAGCCACTATTTGTGTCGAGTCACGACTCGAAGCGGCTCTTATGCGATGTTTTGACTTTGGTTAAACCTTTTATTTAACATTTGAAATAGAGAAAAGTGTGTCAAATAAAGCGGTATACCAAATAATTTGACAACAAGCTTAATAGATTATAATATGCTCTAACGGTGTTAATCAATGTTGCCATATTAAAACCTTTAAAAGTCTATTATTTATTTCTGTAAGCCCTTATATTATCTGTAGTCATTCCATTGCAGTTATCGTAGTTTGACCATAGGTGGCGCTACAGGATGCTTTGATAATGAGATAGAACAAGCGCTCTCCAGCCTATATATTTCCAAAAACACTACGATTTATAATTCTTTATGGTTCGTTTCTTAAAGGCAATTCTAGAGTTTTCGATGAACGTTGTTGATATTTTAAAAGAACCTACACTGGTTTTTACACTAAATAAGAGCCTAAGCTAGGCCAAAGCGAATAAATAGTTATCTGTCATTTATAGTTAGAAGTTCTTGTAATTCTTTTTTATTAAATGTTTTGCAGATTTTTTGTAAACTAACTAATATTTCTTGTACCATTCCAACTAAGCTGTGTTCTCCTAGGACATAGTTAACGATAATAGTTGAATGGCGGGATTCGAACCCTCAACCGCGTGGTCCGGAATTCGTACCCTTAACCATTAGGCTATTGGCGCATCTAATTGTTGCTAGAGTCTAATTTCATACTTTTGTGTCACTTAATTTTTCGTCCAGTGGAATAATGTAAATACTGCTTCAATAATGGATAGTTTTAAACAATCCAGTCTGTACTCTACAAGGAGATAGAACAGAAGTTTCTGGAACGTATTTTTAGATGTGATGTCGTTTGTAGTGTATTAGTTAGCCACATAGAGTTTTTAATGCGGTCGTCGTAGTAGGCTACGATTGCTACGAAATAGTGCTACGAGTTTAGTTTGGTGTGTGAAGCTGAAGTGTTTAGAGGTAATGGTACTGGTATAAATAAAAGATCATTTTTTTCCACTACGTACATTTATTACATAAAATACCCATAGTCGAAAGTTTACGCAGAATCAATAGTATTGTAGGACGAGTTTCAAAATGTTTACAAGAGAGATCTGACACTAAATCATAAATAAACATATTTTCGTTTTCTTCTCTTTTTTTTAGTAATTCTTATAGAATGACGAAAGAAAAGAAAATAAAGCACCAGAAAGAAAGCTCAGTGACTAATGGGTACGGTTACAGACATTTATCACATTAATTATAATGATTAAATAGTCGGCCATCCTTTACGACTCATAACAATATCCAAGCCACGCTTCTAAGCGACCCCAGGGGTTGCCACCAGTCTTCCAAGTTTACCCTTAGCACTCAGTCAGTCGTTGCCAGACAGCCGGACACATAGATATATCTAAGAAGTGTATGCGTGATAGTAGCTCTGCACTTTTTTCATCGTTTTTTCGCGCCTAAATTCGATAAATTTTACCAAAATATTGTATTCCATTGAACCTTGTTTACCGTTTCCCATAATTCGCTCGAAGTGCAGAGCTGCGCCCCGTCCGTCAGACGGTCGATGCGCAAGATGTTCAATCACACATGGAAAAAATCTACCACAACATTGTATATTGAATACATCCACTTAGAACTATGACAAAGTCGCGCAATGCGAGGCGGGCACAACCCGTTACCGAGTTATTCCCCCCTGCTGCCAAATTTTTTGGGGTTCCATTGCCCAAATATTCAATTAAGACATATTTTTATTTCTTTTGTGCTCGTTGGACACTGAAATAACGATATATGTGTTGCATGAACATCTCGGCAGTGGATAACCACCCTAATGTAAACACATAGGAACATTAAAAACACATAAATCCAATATAATATAATAAATAGAAATAGGCCTTTCTAAGGTCGTAGTCAGTCCGCTGTTTTGTAAGGCCTTGAGTGACGTAACACAAATTCTCATCTAGAGAGAGAGAATATGGCTGTGAGCCAAAATTGAGCGATATCGTCAGTCAGGGCCTAATCTTAAAACTACTTTTTTTTGGGTGCCCCGAAGTTTTGTGGGCCTTTTTAGACCGGGTCGGGGACATTTTTTATCTTTTATAACACCAATACACTTAAATCTACAAAGAATATTAGGCCGAAGGCCAATGCAATAAGTATCCTTAATTTGGCAGCATTATCTTAATTAAAAAACATCATCAAATATACCTTTGGCATTTCCAACAAAAAAAAATAGTTCGAACATTTGGCCGATAAAATCACATCTTGGCGAATTTTGGCACATCATTTTCATGTAATCATTATCAATTTTATGTAAACTCGTTGAAAATTTGAACATAATCAGTTTTACAAAACAATTCCACGCAACGAAGTCGCGGGCAAAATAAATGTATATCATTAAAATGAAATGACAAGTTTCCACTGCCAAATTAAGGCTTAACATCTAAACTTACATAATAAACATCGAATTACAATCTAAACATCGAGATGTCAAAAAATCTTACATCTAAGTTATAATGTAAAGTTATGTTAAGCCATACTAATTACTGTAAATAAACGATAGACCATTCAGTGTTCTAAAATTGATAGCTGAGATTGTAACCGTAGGGTGGGAGCTTGAAAATATAAAAATACATAAATAAACATAAACAAATCAAACATATAATATAATAAATACAAATAATTCACATTGTTTGATATTATTCAAATGTTTTCACTTATTTTCAAATTACGTTTAAGTTCGGCTTAGCGGTGAACGCCCTTGTCTGAATTGCTTCAGACAAAAATATATATCATTTAACAAATTCATTACTCCGACTAACAAAATACAAACGTTTAGTTAGAAAGTAACAAAAGTTTGTCCTCTGTAAGCCAAAAGTAACGACGTTTATTAACAAATCCTATAGAACAAGGATCATATAGAAGCTATTATTTATTCATATACATATATATATATTTTATAACAACAGCAAAAAGATTGTTGTCGATAGGAAATTAAAGAAACAAATATAGTTAAAATACAGATAAAATATTGAAGGTTTCAAAATAATATTGAATTGTAAAAAGATATAACAAAATAATATTTAAAAAAAATTAGTAAGAAAAAAATACATATGAATGGAAAACTAGTTAAAATAAATTTAATAATAAATAAATGAAATCCAAAGTTGAACAAATAGTAATATAAAATTAACTGTTAATTAAAATAATGTAAATAGGAAGCTTAAAAAAGGCATTAAATATATAAATACTATATTATATAAAGAGCTCGTATTCAAATATCGTGTTCAATAGAAAAAAAACCAAATGATTTTAATTTCCAAAATTTTGATTAATTTATAACATTAAAATAATAATAGTAAATAAATATAAGCCGTCAAAGCCAGGTCAATGAATGGTCCATACAAAAATTTTATACTTTAGAAGTACATATGTAAATAAATTTTCAAATTATATAAAATAAAAAAATAAATTGAATTAAATTCACTTATAAAAATATTAACGATTTGAAAATACAAGCGATGTTTAGAACCCCAGAGGAATGGGAGAAAATATATCCACAACAAATATCATTAACAAGGGCATTTTTTAGCCTCTATAGAATTTGAAAATTCAAATATTGAAAGAGCTTTGAAACAGCATCGTCAACAATATCGCACGGATTGGGGCACGAATGATTTTATATAGGAATATTCAAATTTTCATTAAATGTATGGAAATGGAGGGATTAGGACAGATTTGTAAAAAACTTATAACTAAAAAAAAAAATAACCCATACCCCAAGCTGTGCGTTTTAAATCACCCCATATCCGGCTTCAGTTAATACAGGGGGTGATCCAACCGTATAACTAACCTATTCATATAGTGCTCCTGAAAGAAATCATATCTCCATACATACCATCACATCACATATCTGAATCAAATGAACTCTAATAAATTATACAAACAAATTATAAACATAACATCTGAATAATAAAATAATTAACCACGTTATATTATTAATAATATATTTTAAAGGAAATTATAGAACATTTAATAATAGTTAATGTTAGGAATCGATAAAAATAATATCAGGACAATCTCAGAGATTGAATTTTGTTTTCTTAATTTAGGTCCAAATTTCTATAAAGATGAATTTTTAGGTCTGTTGATTCAAATAAATTGTAAGTGAAATTGATAATTAGTTGGCTTTTTATTTCTTCTTACAATACTAGAATGATTAAATGCGGTTAAATATGCCTTATATACTACACTACTCTTATATACTAAGCAACCCGGGTACAATGGGTGCAAGACATTATTAAGTATACGTGTGCCGACGGCAACTTATTAATAAAACTTACCACTAAACAAGACACAGCTAATTCCACACGAGGGCAGAACATTAATCTTGTTTATTTCGAGTAGACGTCTCGTCAAATGCGCCATCAATACGTGCACGCAAGAACGACGTATTATTACGCTAACAAATTTACGTCTATCCTGTTCAATCAGCGATGTCAAGACGGCGGCGGTGACTGAATGCCGCAGTACCACGAGGTTTGGTTGAATGCGCGTTAACCTTAATAGTGTTCTGTCTCAAACTATACCAGTACTACTCTTTCTACTGCTCTGTCCCACTGTTGGACCTCGTGTGAAAATAGCACTTCATTTGTCTTGTGTACCTACATCACAGCGTTACTGACTCTACCCTGTAAATTCACAGAGTAGTGACCTTTTAGGCGCATTTAGTTTTTGCGAACGAGTTTAGGAGAAACTGAGGGAAGAGATTTTGTTGGTAAAGACCTGCCTGCTTGAGTTTGTGCGTTATTCTGTGCCATCTCCAGCTTGGAATGCAAACGGAACTGTAGTCGAGATTCCAGCGAATAGTTGGAGTAGCTCTTCCTGAAATAAAATAATAGTATTATTCATATTATATTGACTTATCCTTAAGCTAATATATCCATGAATGCTACTGTTAGTTTGTTTGTTGTTGTTTGCTACTGTTTCTGTGTTTTGCATCCACTATTTTACAAAGGTTTCAACATAAATTTGCACAACTGTAAAGTTTAGTAAAATCTCTTTGTGTGCCGAGACTTGTGTCCTAATATTTCTAGAAGACGACATTCACAACAATACTCGAATGCTAGAGTTACAATTGTATTTATATTAAAAATTGTAATACCTAGCATCCTGCCACATGCGAACAGCACGGTTAACTTCGCCGAGGTTGTAATGGCAAGTGGCCGCTTCATACAGGGCGTACGGAACCAGAAACGTGTCTGTCTTGATCATGTTCTTCAGACTGTAAAAGGACACCAATATTAATAAATTCGTCCTTCCACACTATGTTCTATATCAGTATCAAATTTTATACCAAATCCAAAGTTACAATATAAAACTAGTAAGAGTTTATAATTAAATGATAAATTGTTATATATTCCAATAAATCCTCGTATATTAGGCAAAGAAGTTTATCTTACGCTACGGCGTTTTCGAACTGTTGTATTGCCAACAGTTGCATTCCAAGCGCAGACAAGCAGCAGCCGCGTAGATAGAAGATTAACGCACGATTATCCGACATCAGGGCAGGCGGCCAAAGTTTCTCATCCCGCTCCAGCACCTCGCTCGCATAGTCGATTTTCTGACGTGAGAGATAAGTTTAAAGCAAATTCCCAAAACCTTAGTAAAAATCAAGCTATAACGTGTTTCGTCTAATGTGACCACCGCTGCTCAAAGACATTCAAAACACTAAAGGGACTGCGGGAGACCGATCACCCTAAAGCTTCGCATGGCTTTTATCTGCTACGTAACTTAAGCGAAGAAATAGGAACCATTACAAATAACCTGTCTAGAGGCAATTAATTTGAGAGCGACGCTGAAGGACTGTCTCCGCCGCGCTTTGGCTTCTAAAACCTCTTCTTCCAAGCTGGAACCTTGTATAGTGGAATACCTTAAGAAGGGATTGAAGCGTGGGAACGTCGGCCGCGAGGGCTGACATCATGTTCCACAGGCAGAGCAGCTCCATCGCCGGCATCATCAGCCGGCCTCCCTGCGCCGAATATCTCGTGCACCTCTTGATCACCCACTTCTCCATCGGAAGGGACTTCCCCGCTATCTTCTGACGATACAGGGGAGCAGCTCTGGAAAACAAACGATGTTAACCAAAGAAACAATTACTCTTTCCCGTCGGCCTCTCGTTGTACTACGTAACGTAAACCGAACGCCGGTCCGTAAACTAAAATTTAAAAGTTATCGATAAAGAAGCAATAATCAAACAAATACTATCCGCGCAAGAAAATCACTTCTTACGACCGTTATACGAAAAAAAAAATTATGAGCATAGATAGCTAAGCAAACAACACCAATAAAACACAATATAAATAGCATGCAGCTTGGTTCGTCTGATTCGCACAAACTCTGCAGTGCCTTATGGTAGTAGAACGTCCGCCCCTTACTTGAGCAAATCGACGACGTGATTTCGTTCGGCAGACGTGCATTCCTCCCCCAGTTGCAGAAGCAACGCTGCTTTTGCATAGCAGTACATTGTTCGAGACCAAGTACTCTCTTCAATAAGACGTCCTGCGAACTCAGCAGCCGTGCGCCAATCCATCATCATACTACACAAAACGGTTACAAATTAAGTTCATGCAAGACGGAAAATAATAAAATAAATAAATACATTACATAATATTTTAAAATAATAAAAATATATTCGATAGTTAAAATAAAATTATAAATAATTCAACTGTTATATATATATTTGTAAAGCGTTTTTTTTTAATTTTTATATTTAAATATATTTTTATATGAAAATAATTTAAATTAAATTGCGGAGAACGATACTTAGGGTGGAGTCGAATTAGTTGATAAGTTTCTAATTTTTTAAAGTAATATTTTTAAAGTACCCATGGTACTGATATTTCAGTCAGAGTTTTGCATTAATGGGCATTAAAATCATTTTTTTATCAGTTATTAGATGTTAGATTCTTAAAAAATTAACAACAATTAGTAATTATTACTACGTTAAAGATATAAAAAAATTATCAATAAAAATCAATCGCAATAAAAGAAATCGTATTTTCGAATAAGTTTGTTAATTTTCATATAAATTTAAATAATTGACAAACATCATTATTCCGGTTTATTATTATATTTTCATCCTAACATTATGCGACTCCATACCTTTTATCGTTCTTCTATATTCGATATAAAAAAATGATAAATAAAAAAAATAAAAACCAAACATAATACATAAAATCATGCAATTTGTCTGTAACTAAAAATACACATAATAAATTAGATATGTATAGAAAAACCTAAAAAAAGAAGATCTAAAAAAAAGCAACATCGATGATAACATATGCATTGCCAAAGCTTATTTATAAAAACACTAAAGTCATAGAAGGAATGAATATAAAATGTGCTTAGATTTGAAGCGTGCAAAGGGTTTAAAATGCAGCCAAGAAGACGTAAGCGTGATATTTCAAGTTGCATCTGCATAAAAACGTATTGTTCTTTCTGTTGTTTTTAAACTCTTCTTTTTATAATAAAGTTTTTAAACAGATGTTACACAGGAGACTCACGATAAGGTTAGACTGCATTAGATAAGGGAAGGCTTCTATGAAAAGTGGATTGAAATCATTTGTCCAATAAACAAGCATGTTTATAACTCAATGTTATGTTTAATGAATGAAAGTTTGATATATAAATGAAACTCTACATCAAATATCTACAGGAATATTTTAAACATCTTTTGTTATTTGAGTTTAAACATACAACAGGAACATGCAATTTGCTGTAAAAACGTATGCACATAATTTTACACTTCCGTGATACTTTTGTGATTAGGAGATAGCGTGGTAATAAGTATTAGTTTAATTATTGTTAATTATTATCGCATTCCGTTTTTTTTTTACATTTGAATTAAATCTAGAAGTGGTATATGATTTATGTACAATTGTATGTCGCAATGGTAACTTTAAACTACTTTTAAACTACCTTTAAATTGTATTTCTATACCTAAGGATACTACATGGTCTTCGTTAATATGTGCAATATGATTATTTAATGTTACTAAAATACAAATGCGACATGTGACCATGTACGTGTTATTGCTACGTGCCCCGCACCCGACGAATGCTACCTCTAAAATACCGTCAACGCTACCTTATCGTACGCCTTGTACTTCTCTGAAAGTTTAACGGACCTGTGTCACACTATAACTTAATCTAATTTAATACTGAAGCAGATAAATAGCAATAAAATGTAGAATGTGCCAGCTGTTTTCAATTATAGAGCATACTGCAATTCTGTAAAGAGGCTCCAGTTCATGTAGTCAATAGTAGATCCTTAAACCATTGCGTACGCACGTCATTGATGTTCAGCTCACTCTGAAAGCGAACACGTAGATATTTTGTTATAGTTTTATATTGTAACTGCTTCTTGAGACGGCGCCCTAAAAGTAAGCAATGAATGTTTTGATCAACTTACGCGCTCGCCCACATCAGCTCCCAGTAGCATAGATGGCGAAGCTGCGGCCATAGATGGCGAGTCTCCGCGACTCGGCGATAGGTTGCGGCGGCCAAGGCGCAGCGCCCGCGGAGCAATTCCAAACGACCCTCGAAGAGGAGGAACCATACACCCTCGGGGTACACCTAATGAAGACCACGAGAGTTACCATCAGGCTTACAAATGTTAATAAATGAACACATAATTAAGAATTGGACTTACTTTCAGTTGGGCGTCGATTATTTCTCGACACTGATGGAGGTTCGGTGTTGCTCCAGCAAAATGACTCACCACGAGGTGGATACCCAGCGAGACTATCTCGCAGAGAACGCCACGCAGGCCCGGCTGACGGGCTCCGGCTTGAAGCTCGGCCAACCCAGCCTCCTGCAAATGAGACCGATGTAAATTCTTGCTTCACGTAGCTCATAGTAGCCGCTTGTATTTATAGAAAGCTGCATTCATTTGAAGTGGAACAAGTCCGACAAAAGAGGAAGAGGTCAAGAAAAACGAACCACGTTTAAGTAGCAGAAGATTTTATTGATTGCACATTTGCCTTACCTTGTCCCCAGAATAACCGACGTATTCGAGCAGGGTTATAATTCTCGCCGGTAATAATGCTATCATGATATTGAAGGTTGCTAGCCCGAGGCGAACGCCGCTGTGGAAATGTTGGCGCGACTCTACGCTTTCCCACGCCTTTTTCTCGAGAATGCGCGAGCACTCCCTGCGGACGAGGAGTGTTACACTACTTAAATTATTCGATAGCCCGTTCGGGCGTTAATAGCAAGTCTAATCTAATGTATGAAATAATGTTTACAATATAAATTTTTCCCTTTCCACGGAGTCTCAAGTCTTCCAAAAGAATTTCATATGCAATTGATTTCCAAGGATTACTAAAGCATAATTTTCTTACTATTTAAATGTAATTAGGTTCTTTTGTACAGCCATATCCCTAGCTGAGCTCCGATTTGAAGTCACTTCCAGTTTTATCTTAAAATTGTTTTACGACATTCACAATTTATGGCGAATAGGGCAAATGTGAACAGTGTCAAATATCACGGAGAACGATGTCCGTACGGACGTATATATGTTCGAAACTCTCTTTTTTCTTAATGGTGAACGATGAGGTGAATAAGAAGCGACTGATGCTTTAGAGGATAAATTACTTGTAGGTGTTGTAGGAGTTCTTGATCTTCATGGCGGCGCGAAGAAAGGCCGCGATGTCCTCCCCTTCTATGACGCAAAGGGCGGCTTGTAGCAGCATCGACTCGGCGAAGCATAGTTCGGCGTGAGCCTCCAGGTCGGTCATTGTAGCGTAGTTCGTCTGGTGTTGGCAAACAAGGAACTTAACAGTGTTGGCTGCTAAACAATAATGTCTGTTCTTCGGGTAAGTATTCAGAGTTAAGTAAAAACTAATTTGTACATTTTTCGTTTCGTGGGATCCTCTCATCCGTCCTACCTATGCTTCCTCTTAATGCAGAAGGATTATTAACTACATATGTTTTGAGTTATGCGGCAAGTAATGCATCCACCCGTGTATTAATAATGTTAGTAAGACTTCTTCTATTTCATCATGTTATTGTGTTTTTGAAGTGTGCATTACCAAAATATTTGTTCAGTCCATTGATACTCTCACAGATCGTTTTCTTATACTTGATAATTTTCTGAAGCAGTTTATTCCGATCCGTGCAAAATTTATTCGACTTCCCAAAAACAAAACGTGATGTTATCGGGATAAATTATAATGAAACTTGTGATGCAGTAAATGTAAAACAATGTAATCGTGTCACAAATTGTGGTTCTAGTTAGTAGTCAAATTGAAAAAGTAAAGTGCTTTTCAAACAGTGAGTCGTGATCGCGGAGTCTTACTTTGTGGATGGATGTAAAATACCTAAATTTAATTATTTTAAATGGTACGGTCTCATGAAAGTTTTAATTAATTTAAATGGTTCTAGTTCTGAAATTATTCCAAACTGACACCCGGTTTCTGAAACGTTAATCAGTTTTAATAACGATTAAAATCAAGTTAATCATTTGTTAAATATACCCATTTCTAGAAGACCCGTTAGCAAATTTAATTGACAGAAATGTTAGTACCATATTAGTGTTCAGAAACCTAGCGTTATATCCCACAGCGTCTTTAATTGTGTGTAGTGCATAAAATTGCACAAATCGCATGCAAAAAAACTCTAATTCCGAACATTGCTTACTAAACTATAATCAACGATATCCTTAACAGAAAAACAAGCAAGAGAAGACAACAATAACAAGAAATTAGAAAAATAACAGTTTTATAAATATTGGTGTTTTTTTTTCAAATCCAAATAAGCATTTTGACAATCAATTTCAATGAAAAAAAGTTTAAAAACTGTCGCATTTATTTTAAAATATATTACTAATTTAAAAACTCCAATTAAAAAATGTACTCATTACTTTGTAAAATGAGTACCTTTAATAAAAGGGTTTCACGACTAGTGAGAAATTCGCTTAAGTTTTTTTGGTTTTGTGCGAATGTTTCAAGAATGAAAACTCAACAAAAAAACAAAGCATACCACTATTTTAATCTGAATTAAATTGAAAGCAGTATTTTGGATAAGAAGCTTTACATTATAAAAGCCAATTGAGGTTTTTAAAATCTTGTTAGACCTCAAAAATCAAGTTTAGTTCTAATTGCATTCACAAGCATGTACGAACATAATACATGCAGTAAACGCCAAACACGCATTACGGACTTCTTGTTGATCAGTTTTCAATAAAAACACTATTGATTAAATCTCTCCAAATTAAATTGAATTGGAGCGTAATAGACGAAAGTGGATTCAATTGTTATCTGTTCGGGCTTGTTCCGGATAATTTAAAAAACGGCTAGACCAATTTTTCGGAACTTTTAATGAAATTTAGTTTATGTATGCGATAATAACATAGGATTATTTAATTTTAGTAATATAACCAAATAAAGATATCTCAAAATATTGAGGCGTCACCGTATTGAGAGCGGAAATGCACTTATTATTATGGGTTTTGCGAACTGTAAAAACGTTTTCGGTTTAATTTCACGTGAACGTCGCGAGCGGGAAACTGTATGTGTTAAATTACATTTAAATATAGTGGAGGTTTATCAACAAGTTGCATGAAGAGATAATGAGAAATAGAGAGAGAGCGAGAGGGGGAGGGGAGGAGAAAGAGGGTGAGGGGGGAGGAGGGGGAGGAGAGGAGGGGGAGGGCGGAGAGACAGTGAGGGAGAGGGGGAGGGAGAGGGAGAGAGAGAGCGAGATTCAACTAATATTGACAGAGACGTCCGGTTCGTTTCTTACACGTGAAAATATTGCGATTGCTAACTATGTTGCGTAAAGTTCGTAATGCGCATCTGACTCGTACATTGTTGCTAATTACCTTCACTATCATCGTCCCTATCGTCTGCATTATCGTGTAGCTCCTGCGGTGCTGGTTGCAAAGGTGCACCGTCGTCTTCAGACTCTGGATCGCTCGGCCTACCTGAGCCGAATCCAGGGTTAAAACCGCAGGAATGAACTCGAATATTGAAACACCCAGGCTGTGGTATATAGACGAGCTGCTCCTGGTAGAAAGTTGAAAGTCATTGACCTGAGGTGGCGATGTGGACTTTTAGATCCGCGTCGCCGATATAGCCAAGCACGGTCATCTGGGACGTGATGATAAACTATCAATGTAGCTCAGCACACCCAGGTCGTACTGTCTATTGTTAACCTAACCCTTTTTTTTAATAATACACTTTAACAAAAATGTATTAAACCGAGTCGAGCTAAGAACATCTAAAACTACAACCTGTTGAGCATTTCAATAGTATCGGGCTGTAAATCAAGGACTAACTATACTTAATTCTAATTATAAAACTATATAATTCTATTATAAATATAAATAATAATAAAAAAAATCTCATAACTATAAGTTTTTATAAAATAAAAAATTCTTACAAAACTCTGGTAGTGTTAAAACATTATTTGTAGTAGTTATGAGTATTTTATAAAGGCTTAAGTTATACATGGGTCAAAACAAGATTGCTAACTTGACAATTATTGGTTTGACTTTCTACTTATCTATTTAGAAATTTAAAAAGTTCGCGTCATATCAGCTAGAGACTAAGGGTAAAAAGACCACGGACTGAACCTTTGCCGTAGTAACTACTCGACTTTCAAAGATTTGAACTATCATAAATGTATAAGATAAGCCTCAGATTTCAATACAAACACAAACAGTCGCTTTGTCTTTGTAATTGTGATTTTCCACTGCCGAAGAACCTATACAAATCATTGCCAAGAATAACATGAAAGTTGACGAGAGATGATCTTTTTTGAGAATGTTCCAGCTGTGAAAACCACATTTAGAATATTAATAATGAAAAAGGATACTGACCGAGACTTCATAATCTCCATCGCCGTCTCCATATCATTGTTGAAAAAGCGCTTGATCGCCATCTCGCAATCGGCGAGGGCCATTTGCAGGTTCGTGTTCTCACTACAAAAAAAAACTCCTGTCAAATTCTGTGTCAACATCTCCCATACATTATCCCCCTCTATGTGGACTCGACACAAAAATTTTTCATATTCCATTTCGATCAATTATTCGTTGTCAATCGACACCCCTATTTTAATCGTAATTTTTAGTTATTATAAAAAAAAACTACTTAAATATACTTACTCAGATGCCTCCTCCGCGGCGTCTTGGAAGTTGTCCGGCTGCGACAAAAATCAATTGATAAAAATCTGTACCTTTTAAATCAATTCATTCCTTAAGTTCAAAACTTTGAAAAACTTTACCATATTATTCTATTAGTCAAATCCTATCATTTGATACCCATGTTACAGGGACAGAAAAAATATGTGAGTCGTTAAATTTTAAAATCAAAAGTGTGAAATTTATTACAAGTGGATCGGCACATATCACTGTTTAAATAAATAATTTACTTAGGGCCAAGCCATTCCCATCTTCTCTTTTTTCACTTCTCTTCTTTCAAGATTCAATTTATTACCAATTTGGACAAAAATCCATGAGGTACTAATCATAAAACAGTATAGTTGTTTAACAAATAACATCCTACTAATTCCCGTTCTTTCCGTTTAGGGTTTGATGATGATGATGTCCTTCCAAAAAAAAAACCTGTAACTCAAATAATACTTACTTCTTCATCCGAATCATCCATCTCGAGAGGTCCCCTTAGGTCTCGCGGTAGTGAGTTGAGAGGTCCCGGATCCTCTTCCTCGGCCATAATCCCGCCGATGTGGTGGCCACCTGGCCTCCTACTCCCTACGCTCTTCTGTTTGTGGTTGATTGTAGTAATTATAAACTAAAACTAGAACAAAAGAAAACACGACTTTAATAATTGTGTAATCTTCTATTTTTAATCAACATTTTTTACTAAAAACTTTGATATAAAATAATTTTTTATCAATACGCGTAATTATAAATAATTTTAATAATACTAAAGGTACGCGTCCATTCGCCGGAGCCGAACGCCCCGCACGAACGGCATTCAGCGGATTTTAAGTTTCTTTATATAATTTTGCATAGCACTGCGTCCATTATCCGCGCCGACCGCATCGAAAGCATTTATGAACAAATAATGCGTTGCGTGTCGGTGACGTCACCCACTGCAGTACGTGTTGTTGTGACAGAATGGAACTCGCGACAAGAAAACAGTCGTAACTACACAAAAAATGCAGTGGACGCAGGAAATCGGCAAATCCGTTTAATCTGGCGCGGGCCAATGGACGCGTATTAAAGTCAAACAATTTGCATCCTGTTCGGATGACCTTTGCTGATAATACGGTCGGAGAAAATTATGGATAAAACATGTTTCTTTTAGTTAAAGCTAGAACTTCCCATACTTATTGTATTTATTTTTTTACAGTTGTAGATTATGAAAATGAGAGAAGATTTTTAAAATTTCATATATGTAATATGAAATTAAAAATAAATTAAAATAAGTCAAAAGCCGTTGGCAAAAAAGTTACAGATGATTCGATTTTTAAAATAAAAAATCGGTAATTTGTCGTTTATATATTTAAGATAACTTATTAATCACAATATTTTGTTTAAATGATTTCAATAAAATAATTATAAAAATTAGGCAAATTTATTCTGACAACGCGTTCTGATATTTAACATTAAATAAGTTTAAACTAATTTGTCATTTAAATTATAAAATAATTATCGAAGTATGAAAATAACAAAATGATTAGCTATCACTACTCCAAGAAGCGAGAAATTAAATAATGACGACTGATATTTGACCTTCTTTATACCAATAAGAATCTAAATTACCTCAATTTAACGTCCATTATTTAAGCTTCATATTCGAAAGAAATTGACATATCTCTACGTATGACAGTTTGAGTCTCGAAGAGAAGACTTTCTACACACAGTTTCCACAGGTATAAAGTAATCAAGAAAATAACAAACAGAATCAAATGAATTACTAAGCGCGGCATGATGATATCGTTCCAATATACTTGAGAGGAGTAAGCCTCTCTTTGTTTAAACCCCCTTCCACTTACACCCTTGTATCCCCCACACCACTTGACCACACCCAACCTATCATCTAACCAGTCACTGCACTAACGTCTACGAATCCATCAAATAAGTTCCACAAAACTTTAACACTTCACAATTATTATTATATGTAACAAAGGTTCATCTTCAATCAGTATTTAAATATCCTTTTATTTTATTAGCATTATTCAGGAGACGACACGACTTATTCGGTACACGGAACAACTAAAACTGCCTCGGCCCGGACGAACCGTCGCCTTATATACTATGCGCATCTCCCTCCCTTTCCCAGAATCACCCCACCTAACCCCCCCCCCTCATCCCCCCATCACACCCCCTTGCCCTCAATGCAAACCCGGGACGAGCTTCGGCTATCCTACTGCGCACTTTGCTGACCTCTACTCTTGACATGCGCCAAATTGTCGATTTTATGTTGTTAACGAACAAAGAAACTTATAATGCATTACTAGTGATACAATTCAATAAAGACCTAAAAATGACATAACAAAGTAAAGTACATAAAAACCTTACAAATAATCAAATCTTTCATAGGTGGATATGTGATCTGTAATGGGTAGATAGGCCGAAAAAATTAAGGAATTATTCAAACATATTTAAGAAAAACCCTCACCTCTTAAATTATAGAGATATTCATCAGCTTTTCGAAGACACACAATCAATGCTAATATAACAAGGAGATAGATAAAATGAGAAAAATAATTATGCGGCATGACGCCGACAAAGACGCGCTTAAACTGCAGGTTACAGGGCGGCGGCGCCCGCCGACTGCATTGCGCACGTCCCCGGGAAACGCCCCTGTGCTCCCGGGAACCCCCCTGTTAAACCCCCCGGGTGCCACCAAGCAGTGCCGGCGTTGGGGTAGGGCGTGGTAGGGCGACTGCGCCAAGGGCGTTGGTGCAATATAAGGGCGCCACAGATCTACGAATTTCAGTATTACGTAACCCTATTTAAACTCCCCCCACCCCCAACCATGGTAAAAACGGCTCTGTCCCCGGGAACCACCTCAAAAGACATGGAGCCCAGGAAGCTCTGCTTAGGGTGACCATCAATATGTTGCATTACTATCCCAAGCGTTTGCTTTTAGTAAGTCTGACAATCATTTCGATGTCAATTAGCGTTACTAAAAGCTACAGTAGCTTTCTAGAAGTCTATCTTCAAACAATTTTTTTAAACATACTCTTAACTATTATAATTTAAAATTAATAGCCGTACCGTTTAAAATGTCAAATGTAATTTAAATACTCAATGTAAATTTTGTTTTAAATGTTAATCTTACCTTGAAAAAAAAACGGCTTTTTGTAATGCAGTTACATTGTCGTAAAGTCAACGATGTAGTAAGTTACTACAATAAACTCAGTATGCACTACCATACGGCTTCTGACTTTCACAGGCCGGGAATTTTTATCGCGAGGGCGCGTCATTTTTGTAAGCTAGTCCATCTATCAGTGCAGTACTTACAAGGCGGATCCCACCCACAACCTAAAGCGCAGGGAGGCTGCAATAGCCACCCCCACCCGTTCCCCCCCTTCCAGGGATGAAATTACATTGCACATGCGTGCAGAGATTGATCGCGACTTGCAGCGCACCGCTCACCGACCACGCCCGGGGAACAGGGGTCAGATAAAGGTCGTAGATTTATAATTAACGCGAACTTACTGTAAGTTTCCACTGCCGAAACACCTGCACAAAAACATGGTGTTCCAGCAGCGAGAATCCATGATTAGCAAGTTACGATTTTCCAAAGCTATTTATTTCCCAAGGATTATTTTATATTGCATACTAGATATACATGTTTACATATGTGTACTACATACCTGTACATACACATAAACTACACATACGTTACACCACTAGCTCTTGGTATATTCCGTTCACAATCCCAATATTGTACGGTAACCATAAAAATATACAGACTAACTGATCCATAATATCCTAACGTTTGTATTTTGCGAACCTCAAATAGTTGAACTAAAAGTTCATAACGTGATGCGAAGCGATAAAAGCTTAAGCTAAGTACGTATTAAATCGCCCCTTGTGCCCCCCCTCCCCCCGCCTCCAGAATCCTCTGTGCGCAACAACGTGACTCCCGGAGGCGTCCGGGGACGACGGTATTGCGCATGCGAGAAAATATCGATTAGATGCAAATTTCAGCCCAGCTTCCCAGGCTATTTATAGTACTTCCAGAATCTTCTTTATACAGAGTGTTGAAATTTATTCCGTATGTTTTATAGCGTCGTACAAATACGAGGTTATAAGAATATTTGTCTCGACCTTTTTTTATGAGAAAATATATTCAACATACATATGTATCAACGCAGACAGTACTACGACTTATTACCAATAGGTAGCAAGTCTTGCTTGTCACGCCTGCATCTAACTGACATTTGCATACTGAATTATTGGCTACTAAAGTTTATAGGAAAATATGTCCGTAACATAGCTAATTATATTTCAAACGCAATATTGACAAATAGTTTAAATAAATGTCTCTTTTAGGTTATTTATGAGGTACAAAAAGTGATGCACTGTGAAATGTAAAAGATTTTTAAAGCTTACCACATATGTCTATTCGATGAAATGAAACTGTTTACTTCCTTTGAGGTTATAACCACCATTTTTGTTTATTCAAAATATTCTTCTATCCTATATAACGCGTCACTACACGATGTCTATTTACGCGAGGATAATTAGAATTCGAAAAGAGTCTTATTTTAATGATTCTCCATAAATAGAACGAAATTATTAATAATATTAAAATGTCCATTCAAATGCCTTGCGTTAGAGTTATTATAAAATAATCTATTAAGGCATTTTACGCTTTGATTTGACTTAAAATATATAATTCCCAATTTTTTTAAATAGATTTTTAAAATATTTCGATCGCGTTTATTTGTCTCGCGCACGGAATTAGAAATGCATTTGCATCTTGGTGCTTTAAGCTAAAGGTCCACCCTGTTCCGACATGCGCACTAAACATCTGTTGCTAGGCGGTACCCAACCTCACTTGCGCGTAGTTTGTATCGATTGATTAGCTAGTGAAATGCATAGCGTACAGTTTTTACCGTCTCAAAAATCAAAAAAATATATTTAACAGTAACAGTTTAAGATAACTGCGAAACTTATTTAGAATTCTAATTATGATTAAAATACAAACAAAGGTTTAATTATTTTTTTTTCAAAAAACCTTACCTGATGAATTGTAACTTTTGCCATAACAACAATCACTGAATAAAGTCAACACTGAACTGAATTAAAATTGTATTATATCATTGTCTTTATAGTTTTGTATTTGCAACAGGTTGTATTAAGTTTGCGTTTCGCCTCCTTGCCTGAACGTCTTTGTTGGTAAATTACTGCTCGGAGGCTTCAGAGGGAGATCCTGGGACAGCCACTCTCCGATCCGTATTTTCACCCTCCCAAAACTTCTTTAGATATGCAACCAACATTTTATAGAATCCGAAGATAATCAGGTTGATGATGACCAAGAGCAATGTTCTCTGCCTGTGCGGCGGCAAAATGTCGGACGCGTTCCTCATTTTAAAATCTTGAACTGAGTCTGCGCGTCAATCGATCAATCCTTTACCGCCTGGACACGCCTATATTTTTTTTTCACAATTAAACACACCGATTACAGGAAATTGAGAATAACGTAATTAATTATAATAATAAAGAATGTTGACACCGAAAAAAATAGTGGAGCAAGCACAAAAGTGAGAAAGAAGTATTTACATAAAAATTTTATCATATTTATATTCACTTAATTAAATCAACATTAAATTTCAAAATAAACAATAATTATTTTTAAATTGGTTAAACAACGCGAAAAGGCGCGAGAGGACGCGTCGGATCGTCACAGCGCCGAAGAGAACAATGCAACGAGTGCAGAGGGCGCCGGGTCCTTCTTGCGGGAACAGTGCGCATGCGCCAACCTGCGTCCCCCGGGGACCTTCAGCAGCCGCCATATTTTATTGATTCTCTACAATTTACCATCTTCCAAAACCGTCTCATAATTTAACCAGGTATTTAATTAGACTTTATCAAATGTTTTATTGCTGGTCGTATATTTTACTACAAAGATTTAACTGTTTTGTTTTAACCTCAAGAACCAGCAATATTTCGATAAATATACAATTTTTTTGAAAATGAAAACATCCTGCGAATATTGTTCACTAACTACAAATTAATATTTATAATCTAATTAAAAAACGTTATGGAAGAGAATTGACCTTCTCTAAAAATAATAATGTTCGTTTTTTTAAATACATAGTATTGAAAATAAAATTCTTTAATGAGATCGAGTGTAGTTTAATTTTTTTTCTAAAAAATAATAGCGAATTTAAACGATTTCAAATTAAAAAAACCTCACGACTAATACCGAATCTAATTGCAACATCTTAAAATCATTTTAGGCTATAAGCGCCTGAATACAAGACATACTCCTTTCCATTTACTTTTAAAAAATTGCATACTCAGAGATTTATTTCATGCAAGATGGCCACTGTTTAGCCTTATACGCATTAACAGGCGTCCGGATAAAGCAGGACATAGGTAGGCTTTTTGATTGCGTGTCCGGCCAAAATATTCGATGTCCGGTTGTCCGGATTTTGTTAGATATTTTACATTTGGCAAACGAGAGTGGCTGAGCGCCTCCATAATCTGAATCCTAAAAAATGTAGGGTGTCCGGTCTTTTTACTCAAATGTCCGGCCAATCTGGCCGGTCTGTCCGGTTAATTGGCGACCTGGTTACCCTACTTGCAACATAGGCGTGGTCCGAAGCTACTGATACTTGTTCAGGCCATTAATTTGCTGGGTAATGATTTGTGCGTCAACCTAATCTGGTGGCGTCTAGTATTCAATTAAAAAAAAACTCATAAGTAATACAAATTATTACCATATAAATACGCGTCTTAATATTTTTATAGAATTAAGTTGAATCTGAAGGTACTTTTAGTTTTACGCGGAATTAAAAACAAACTTAATAAGTAGCCTATGTGTTCTTCCAGACCATGTTCTACATCTGTGCCAAATTTCAGCGAGATCCATACAGCCGTTCCGGAGATACCTTCCAACAAACATCCATCCATCCATCCGTTCGCATTTATAATAATAGTATGATAGTAAGATTCAAAAGCGATACTGCGCGTTAACCCATGCAAGCGAAACTGACGTAGGTATATTTTTTTTAAGAAGTCTAT